TTTTTAAGATTTAAAAAATTTAGGAATATAGATTTTTTTAACTCTCTGAAAGTATTGGTATATTTAATAGAGATTTTATAAACTTATTAAAAAAATTTAAAAGTTACGGAAAACATAAATTGTGTGGTATGTAATTGTGACTTTGCGTGATTTGTGACATACAACGTTTATTAGAGGTCACGAATGTGATCGCTTGGTTTTTAAAATTTTTTTTTATACGTTTGTTAATTTTAAAAATATATTTTTTGACGTTGTAGTTATGAAAATTTTTCCAAAAAAATATGTATAGGCCGGTCCAACTTTAATCTAAAATTTTGCATCCTATGTAGTCATCCAGCATCTATTACGAAAAGCTGAACTTATATTATACGCACACAAATTTTGAAAAAATAATTTGTTCGCCATTAATATTAAAAAATTATAAATATCGTAGGAGGCAGGCCTAGAGTTAAAGCTTAGAGTGGCTTGAAATTTAGAATCTGTCATTCGGGAGTGAATTACCCAAATGATCATTGAGTTTTGCAAAAAATTTTCATGGAATCACTTAAACTTTAAAAATCACATAATTCATCATTGAACTTTGAAAAATATTTCCACGGGTCACTAATTTTAAAAATCACACAATTCATCACTGAATTTTGCAAAAAGTTTTCTTGATCTCGAAAAACTTTTTGCAAAGTTTAGTGATGAATTATGTGATTTTCATAATATGTTATCAGTACTAAATTTTAGCTAACTGAGTTATAATAAAATTATTCTTGTTTTGTTTTTTCAACAAAAGCATAAAGTAATTATTTTTATTTTTTTATTGAAAATCTTATTGTATGAAATCAGTTGAACAAGTTTTCTCTGTCCAATGCTTTTTTCATTGTTTTTTTGTGTTGAATGTTTTTTTGAGAGTTGAGTCTTTTGTCTTTTTTAAGGTCTATTCTTTCACCATTCTGTTTTCTTAATGCCATGGTCAAATCCAATTTGTATATTTGTTTTTGTCATGAAGTGGTAGAAAAAGCAAGAACCATGCTATTGAGCGTACGTGTGGATCTGGCTAGAAAAATAGGTGTAACTTTCGGCACTATAAGGAAGATCGGTACATATGCATAATTTAAAATTAAATTCTCTTCATCAATTATATTATAATTTTTTTTTTTTCAAAAGTGGTAATTATATATGTATTATACTCATGTTGTTTGCTTTATTTTTATTTATGTTGGTAAAATATATATGTTTATGATGATCATTGAATATTCTTTCTATCTTTAATCAGATTAAATATTTTTATATGTTCTTATATAAACTTTAAATTCATAATTTATCATGTCATTGCTCTTCTTTGCAAATAATTAATATTTTGCTATAGAACGCATAGTTCTGAAGAGTTAATGTTTCGAAATAATACTTTATTGTTACTCATGAAATAGTACAACATTATAATTAATATTCTAAAAAAATAGTAATTGCTTTGAAAGAGCATGATATAATAATTTCAATATTCCAAAAGAATATTGATCGATTTCTATGTAAAAACACGAATTTAATTACTCATTTTCTTCATATGTTTTAGTTAAATCTTATTTGCCTCCAGAATAATAAATATGCTCTAACATAAATTATATTTTTTACTTTTGAAAAGTAAATTCTTAAATACTTTATTACTTTTAATAATATTATGTTATTGCTCCTAAAGAGTGTATATAGTTTTCAATATTTTAAAATACACATCTTGAATAATATATATCTCAGTGTGTTATTGAATAAACACAAATTAAACAACTCAATATTAGGTTGTAATTTTTAAAGGAATCTAATTTTTAATATTATTAATAATCAAGAAGAATATTAATTTATCGTTCTTGAAGAGCATGAATTAAATTTTAATATTCCAGAAGAATATTAACATATTACTCTTGAAGAAGCAATAATTAAAGTAATGTGTTCTTGAAGTAACATATGTTTCGAAGAATGCATCATTTTGAATTTATGTTTATCTATGAAAAAAATATATAACTAAATTCATGAAGACATTAAATAGTTTGACTACATAAATGATATTTGATTATATAAGGTTTAACCAAATTTTTCGAAATTAAATAATTGAATTATATCTTGTATTGAACCAAAAGTTTAATTTGACTTTATTATTTGGAATGGTTAGTTAAACCATTACCGGGTCAACAACAATGTGAAATTAAAAATTTTAATGGATATTCAATGAAGAATCCGAAGATTTTTCAATCTAATGAAATTTTATATGATGTTTGTTCTTTTTTTATGAAATTTTTTCATTAATTATCACTAGCTAAAATAGAAATTGAATTTCCTATATTTTTGAAAAATTAATTAGGGTGATAAATTGGGCTTCATCATCCTTCACGTTGATCATCTAAATATAGTTTGTATCTAATAAATTTGATACATATATTAGATGATTGCATGTTGTTCGTAACCTGAGATTTGCAAAATTACCGCTTAGATATTAAATTGTGAGCATAACTTTCAGATTATATAATCAAGATTGTGTTTTGTTGATGCTAATGAACATAAATCTCAACATTTTAATAAGTGCTAGTTGTGACATCGATAGATAATTCAATACTATTTGTTTGTTAAATGTTTTCAATTAATTTAATTGAAAATAAAGTAATTCCAACATCATAATTTTTCCTATTATAATTGGATTATGGTTAGAGCTTAATTTTTTCATAAAATTATTTTGATAGTGTAGCATATGTAAATATTGATTCACCACAATGCACCAAGATAAAAATAAAGAGCGTTGAGAATAAGTGTGGAATTTTAACTCTTATCCCAAATAAGTAATATTTTATAAAGCTAAAAAAATAATTGTCAATTTAATTGGATAATTCTCTCAGCATTGAGAGAGAGAATTAAGAAGTTGAAATGATGTGCAAATGTGTCATATTGTCTAAATATTCACAAAAGATCACTCGAACCAGAAGTTCGAAAGATAATTTATATAGATACATTTACTGAACAAAAAGATCGACAATATCTAATGCATTAATTTTAAATACTCCAATACGAATTGATGTTCTAGGAGGACAATTTGATAGCATTATATTTGATATATTTATGACACTCTTGAAGGATAATGGTATTTGATTCTAATACAAAAAATCTCCAAATGAAATTAAAGCAATTCACGAAGATGGTCTCATCAAGAAGGCATGTACTCTTTATGAGTATTTGGACATAACAAATTATAAAATCTCAAAAGAGGTTCAAATACTTGTTATATTGAAAATTGGGATATCTCAATAAATTATGTCATTACATAGAAAGAAATAAAATTGAAAAGAAAAAAACTATCTACAACACTTTTGCACATGATATACTATATCATATTATGAATAGCTAGGTGTCGAAATAAATTTGTCAAAATATATTGATCAAAGTGACGATTGGCCAAATAAAATACATGCAATCCTAAATTGAATCTACTAGAGAAACTTAAAGTTTTTGGATTTACAGTCTAAACACCTAAATGTGTATATTTATGAAATGTACGACTCTTTACATAAAAAATATAGTGAAGACTTGTGTAAATAGATAAGTTATCATCTAGTGGATATAATGTGTCTACCCTATTAGGGTGACAATGCATGAAATTTAATATGCATATAATAAATGTGATTATAGCCAACTTATCTTACATATAAATTTAATATTATTTTTGAAGTATAATTCAAGTGATATTATTATGAAGGTGAGTAAATATGTATTGTACTCTTTTTTCGTTGACCAATGTTTGTCTCATTGAATTTTCCTAACAAGATTTTTAATGAAATAATTTTTGTAGCATATTCAAAAGAATGATGTAATTTTTTCTTTTTTATTAGATTATAATTAATAAGGTTTTGAAAAATAATAAGTCATATTCTTCATGTAATGAATGTCTATAACATTCAAAACATTTACTCTCAAAATAATACGTTATATATATGAGACTCTCGGAGATATCAATAAAAGCTATTTCTGAAATCATCATGTTACTACGGTTATCAAAATATCCCTTATAACACGGTATTATTTGATGATTATGCAAGATAACATGAGACATATTTCACAAAAAAATTGTAATATTGAAGATATTGATGTTCGACATATGGATAACTTGATACAAAAATTTTTATTTATTGAATCCGGGGAGTAGCTGTATTCTTTTTCCTTCAATTGGGTTTTGAACCACTGAATTTTCTGAACAAGATTTTAATGAGACAATATTTTACTATTCCAAATTATTTGTACTCTTTTTTATTCATTAACATTTTTGTTCCATCGAATTTTTTGCTAAGTTTGACACCCATTTTTGTGAAAAAAATGAATTTTAGAATAATAGATTGATGAAAAATGTGTGGATGAATTTTTTTTGATTTACGTGTAATATTATTTTAATGAAAAATGTGTGATTGAAAAGAAAAGAGAGAAAAATACATTTTGAGAAAAATGAGAATCAAACAGAAAGAAGGTTTCAATGAAATAATTATTATGGAAATAATCATTAAATGAGAGTGTTGTAACAATAATGAAATAATTATTCACGATTTTTAGTCTCATCATAATATATAGATAAGTCATATCTAATATAGAAACTTTTAACTCTTATTTTAGACCCTAAAAATATATGCTATTGATTTTTAATAATATAAATAAGAACAATGCTATAAATAGAGATTTTTTCTATATAATTTGTACAGAAAGACAATTGTCTTTCTAAAATTGGCTATTGTCAAAAACAATTTTTGACCATAACAAATCACAGGAAGACGACTATCTTTCTGTACCAGTTCTGTTAATAAAAGTTTGTACTTGTAGATTATTTGTATAAACAATTTTATTAACTTTTATTCTCTCTTCTATTTTTTTCTTTTCGCAATATGTATCAAATTTTACTAGTAACAACTAACAGGACTAGGGACAATAACAAATATTCTACAAAGTTATGTCATTTTACTAAATTATTTTAGCAGAAGTTGAAAAATGGTTTTAGCCCAACTACTACGCAAAATATCTTAATTTTTTTCCTCCGATGAATTAATCCAAATGAACACGTGAACAATAAAATTCACACAATTTTATAGTTTCATTTTCACCAATTCACCATCCCCATCAAACCCCTCCCATTTCCTCTTTCCACGCCCGACCAGATCTATCGGATTTGCAATCAAATCCCAATCCAAATTTCCCACAAAAATGTTCCTCTTGGACTGGTTTTATGGGGTCTTGGCCTCCCTCGGACTGTGGCAAAAAGAGGCCAAGATCTTGTTTCTTGGCCTCGATAATGCTGGCAAGACCACCCTTCTTCACATGCTCAAGGACGAGGTGATTTTTTTTATGTTATTTCATTCATACTAATTGAAACACACGGAAATTATCTGTAAATGTTTTTATTTGAACATGGATCTTGATAGTTTGACTCGATTGAATTATTTGGGTTTTTGTAGAGATTAGTGCAGCATCAGCCAACGCAATATCCCACCTCGGAAGAGCTGAGTATTGGGAAAATTAAGTTTAAGGCGTTTGATTTGGGGGGTCATCAGATCGCTCGTAGAGTCTGGAAGGATTACTATGCCAAGGTAGATTAATTTATATAATTGTATTTTCTGTATTTTTTTTTATATATTCTGTTATTATTTTGCTTGGAGTTGTGATTATAGTGCTTTTATAGCTGGGTTTTAGTTTAGATTCCATTGAAGTTTGATTTGCTTTGGAAATATTATTCTGAGGAAAAGTGCTAAGAATAGTTATTGATTTTTCGCTCAAGTGGGTATGGATTTGCTCGATCTGGTTGTTGGTTTTTTGCAAATTTTTCGAGTGATCTAAATAAGGATTGTTGAAACTGTGTTTTCTGGATCATACATGGAGTGATTTCATAGTTGGAAAAGCATTGAGTCCATGAGATATTTAGTGGGACACGAAGATTTTTTTTATTGGAAAGGAGTGATGATTGCATTTGAGCATTTCTTTTGTTTACGATGTAAATTTGTGTAGAATATGACTATCTAACATGACATCAGGTTATTAGCTCAATGGCATTGAGCTTGGAGGTTTACGGTGTGCTTCTTTCACCACAGTAGTTTGAGCTTTATGCTAATTTCTAATTTTACAATCTGAGTTTGTCTCTGACTCATACTTTTCTGTTTACAAATCGAACTTATTATGCCTTTGCTGCGTAGATGGCATTTTCAGATAGTAAAATATAAGTTTAATGTTAAGGTAGGAAAAATCGGGCTGTGTGCTTTTTCAGTGCTCGTATCCAAATAGCATTGTATAAAACTTTCCTTTCCGATCTTGCAAATTTATATGCCACCATCTGAAATATCACTTGAAACAATTATATATATCCGGTCAATAAAACAAGGTGATTTTTCTCCAACATTGGCTGTTGGTCTATCTTTATGACTCCCTTCTTCTATGGTTTAATCTTGCATACGTTGTTCATTACCTTACTGACCAATATCCAACATATGAAGTGCATTCCATGTATATTGTGCTACAATTGGTTCTGAATGTATCAATTTTGCAGGAATATACATGTCTACATCATTTTAACCAAATGGTTTGGTGAATTATGAGGTGCACATGTTTGCAGATGTCAACCAATATAGAATATTATGCA